TTTTTAACTATTTATAATTTATTTTGTATACTAGTACTTTCTATATATTAACAGGACTTATTATACTGGAAAATTATGGATGCAGATATCTAGTCTTACAGTTTAAAATAATGTTCTTTATTTATATATATTAATAATAATGTCCTCAAACAGGTGAACTAAATAAAGAACATTATTTTGAACTGTAAGTCTAGATATCTGCATCCATAATTTTCCAGTATAATAAGTCCTGTTAATATATAGAAAGTACTAGTATACAAAATAAATTATAAATAGTTCACACTAAGCTCGATTCGCTGGCGAAGGCGAAAAACATAGCGAATAACATTTCAGACAACGTCGTTTCCAGCGAATTTCGAAAATCGCTTCGAAGTTCGGAACTGATCCCCAAAAGGGGAAATGATGATTTTTCCTAATGAAAAAAAAATGTGGAGCTGGTTAATGACGAAATATCAGAAGTGGCCATTTTGTTTTTCGAGATGACGTTTTCGCTCGCTAGCAAATAATCGGCTGCTTAAAATTCGCAATCGCTTTCCGTTTTTGGTTGTATGGGTCAATTTCGCTATGCGAATAAAAATCGCTTTTCGCATTGGCTCTCGATATTCGCTCAGTGTGAACTAAGCTTTAAGCCGGAAATGGTTAGAAACTTTAGAAGCGGTTCCTATCACTCGCGAGAATTTTAACAGCGACGTAATGGGACGCAATACTTCTGCTTCGGAGGGCGTAACGAATTCATAAAAATTCGAATTATTGCTAAGTAATCTTTATAACTGAAACTAAAAATCGTATCAATATTTTAATTTATTTTATTATATAATATAATTATTAATAATTATTAGTAATTGGTAAAGAGGGGGGCGAGAACTCCCAAATTATAAACCCGGTAAAACTGTCGATTCGGGGGAGAGGGTTTTCACCCCCAACCGGTAGACCCCCCCTTTGTGATAAAAAGTACCTAATGAACCACACGCTACGGAATCGGAGTCACGTGACCGGAAATGACGTGCGTACAGTCGCGTGTGATACATAGTTGAAAGCGAGTCTCTGAGCGACGCGAGTTAACAGAGCGACGCGAAGGCCGATTTGGGGGGGACTCGGGAGAAGGTTCCGAGTGTCACGAGACCCGCGGCCGGCACTCCATTGGCCGCGGAGCGCGCTGCATCTCTATGGCTGAGGAAAGACCACGTGATTTGCTGTCATGCGCAGTGCTGTCCTTGGAGCGGGGAAGTGCCCGAGGAGACTTAAGAGGGGTGTGCGCGCGCATTTGTTTTGAATGGTAGGCTCCCGTTTTGACCGTGGTGTCACGTGACCGGAAATGACGTAGGCTAATTTTTGGGGGCTTATATCTCGTGAAGGGTCGCGCGTAGGGGTGTGGTTCATTAGACATTAATTGATCACAAAGGGGGGGTCTACCGATTGGGGGGGTTCCCTCCCCCCTCCCCCGCTCATAGAATATTACCGAATTTTTTTTTAAATTTTACAATTGTAATCAACGCCTACATAAACGTAATTTACATAAGAACAGCCATAAAATGTTGGTGTATTGCTTAAACGTAATAACCGAAAACTCTAAGCAAAACGTTAATTGGTTAACATCTTCCCAAGATTTTAAAATCTTAAATTGCGGCTGAATGCAACAAGTACTTTCGTGGGAAATCCGATAGCCACCGAGCTTGACATTTGTAAGTCTTAAGACACATTTATATCTGTCCGTCATTATTTTAGGTTATTTTATATATTAAACAACAGTAAAATAACATTTACTTACAGTTTATACTATACTAGAAACAGCTGTCAATCGCTAGTCTCTAATCCAAACGTAAGCATTGAAAACGAAACCACTATTCGATGTACTGTACGTTTAACACACTCACAGACAATATACAGACGATAGACGAATGGGTGACGTAAGTTGCCATCTCTATGACATTTTCAAAAATTTATTTAAACAATTGAAAATTTAATACATTTTAAAAACTTATAGTAATTAAACATTGTAAGCTTATTATTAATATTTATAATATGTAGATCTAAATATAATAAAAATCATTATTTTTCGTCACTCGTATATAGGAAATTGATTTTTAAAAACTTGAATTTTCGGAAATTTTAATAACTTCAAATTATAAAAAAGTATTTATTAAATTTTAATTTCTGTTATAAATTACGATTATTATTGAAATTTATTAAATATTCTTCGTCATCGACATCGTTAATAATAGCCGTAATTGTCCGTTATAGGACACGGCCATCTCCAGTGTTTCCTTTCTTCTGTTAATATTATTCATTTTTTCCTATTGTTTAAGTGGTCGTTTCGCTATTTTCTTTACGGTCTTCCTCTCTCTTACTTCCATTTGTTCTTATTATATTCGTAATATTATATAAGGATATTTCCGTCTTCCTTTAGAAAATCTAAAGAGGGATCAAATGTCATCCGCTTGAAAATATCGACAAGACATAACTTGTTTCTAAATTTAATTTTTTTTTTCAAATAATTAAGATTTTATTTTACTTTTAAATTGTTGTTAATGAAAATATTAAAGTTTATACAAAATCCACAAAGAATCATTGAAAACAATTCAAATTTTAATTTTAATTACTGCATACAAAAAAGACAGGTAACCTTTAACAATTTTTTTTTATAGCAAGAAAATTGAAAAATTTATCGTGCCATTATGGAGATAAATCTACGGCCAAATAAGCAAAATGATCTGTTAACATGCCACAGTTTCTTCTTCATTTGCTGAAATATAAGTAATATTTTAAAATTTTTATAAGAGCTCATATATAAGACTGGATCAATAACTAATCAGCCATAAGAACAGCATGGCAGATTGCCGATTGCTTATTTATTGATCCACTCTTACAGTTACAAATATATAGGAAACTAACGTTGATGAAAGGTTCGCAAGCCCTCCATATATATATGGAACTGTAAAAATACAATCTCCTCGGGTTAATAAGTGGCATTGAGTTCTTTTCGTGAGTTAGAAAAATCATATTAGTTGCGGCATTCTTCCTGACGGGCGGACATCTTTGATACCGCTGACCAGCTGCCATTTTTAATTCCTTTTTGTATACACGTAAATCGCCCTTGTTTACTTTTCGTGTTTGGCTTGTCTTCGTATGCTTATCGTAAACTAGGCAAAGAATTTTCAGAAATCATTTTATATGTAAATACGCTATCGCTTGCTAATCCGGCCAGTCCTTAGTTGTGCCGGATTACTGGGTGTATGTCTAAAAACAATGAATGACCATCTTTCGCCTTTTAGTACTGATTCCTTTTGGGAAGCAGGCGGTCAAATACTCGTAATAATCACGTTAACATGCAAAACTGTACACAGAAACGAACACGAGAAAACGGGAAGACAGGATTTGTAAGATTTTCATGGAAACTTAAGTGATTACACTTGGAAATACGCCGAGTAATTAAGAGGCCGGATTAGCAAGTACATAAATTCGAAACTTTTCTTACTTTTAGACTGAATCTTGTAGTTATATGGACCATTATCTCCTTTGCCGTTAATTTCATTTTTTATTTTGAATTCTGGAATTTTTCTGTCTTGCCAAAAATTTAAGTCATTATATTTATGTTCAGGATCGTACTAGAATATTTAAATTTCGTTAATGTGTTATAACAAATTTATCAAATTATGTACATTGAAGCCTTACTTCGGGAATTTCTGTATTGTTTTCGACCGACATTTGAGAATTTTCTCAGCTATAGAATAAAATATATTCCTAATTTCTGTTTTATTAATATTCCTTTCGTAGATGAGATAGCTGCAAGAATAAATCTCAGCAAAATAACGCTTTTATCTCCTTAATGACAAATACAATAATGTTCTTTTGAATCTCAATTATTAGAGTATTGTTAAAATTTTTAATATTCATAATAAACAATTGTTTTAGCATTAAACATTGGAACACTTCAAAACCATTTGAAGTTACTTTTTTTTATTATTAAAATTATTTAACCATCATGAAGAATAACACATTGAAAAAAGTTGAGGTTGAATGCATTTGTCAGTAAACAGATCAGTGAAACGTAGTACTACTATAAAAATTTTAGATCGGTATCGTAAGAATAAATGTAGATAGGACTCATAGTTGAATGGTTACCTTATAAACTCCCACTATTCAAGCATTCTTGTCACACACCGTTAATCAAGAATAGTCTAAAGACGTTTATCTGTGATGTAAATGTTATATTAAAATCTTTTTTTAAATAAACAACACTAAAATTAATTAAAATAAAACATTTTAATTAATACATTTAAGACAAATCTTAGTATATTATATAATTTCAAAACTCTACGATTATCTTATTTGAAAATAAGCTCTTTTTTCATTGCATAGGAGCCAATAATCACATTAAATTTAATAGTTATGATATATTATTGTACTTAATATTTGAGTATCTGAAAATTAGAGATTCTTTGTTTAAAATTCTTTAAAGTTATGTACAATTGCAAATCTTGGCTGTTTGATACAATTGCTTGTTAGTTAACCTTATTCCGTAATACAAAAATATATATATATATACTTATATAGCAATAGGTTTATAGTAACAATAAATTTTAGATCATTAACACTATTCGGTATACATAGATACAACTTATTTGTTATATTTATATATGGCACAAATATCACTTAAACTACTAGCATTCAAAATATAAATTCTAAAAACAATATTTGCAAATAATAAAGAAATGATTCATATAAAAAACATATCTTTGAGCACTTTTTCAGCAAGTTTTTTCTTTTAAACGAATGTTATCAGCTCAAACAAGCTATCATTCCTATTTAGAAATGTAAATTTGGAATCTTTGATAGACCCAAGTCAGGATTATCAAGGGAGTCAAAAACATTTGTTGCAAAAGGAAAATATTACTGAAAAAGTACTCAAAAATAATTTTTTATATGATTTAAACTCTCTTCCTATTTTGATTCTATTAAACTAAAATAAAGAAATGATTCTAACATAATAAATGAAAAGATAACCAATAAAAGCATTTAAAAAATCAGTAAAGTATTTATATATAAAAATGAACAATTCTTCAGTAAATTAAGTTAGAAATTATTGTAAAATTATCAAAATCTTTTACATAATCTTTTTAATGAATTCAGTGAAAAATTAACTAAATTATTTCAAAAAACATTTTAACTGAATTAATAAAGCTGATTTCAGCTGAGCATTTAAATGAAGCTAATATATATATTATATATGTTAAAATATTATTTGATTATTTTAGTTTCTGTAAATCAGTTTGATAGAAACAAGTGACAACTTCAATTTTTTAGCATGGCACATTAATACATTAAAAGCAATCTTGTAATATTATTGATATACATATTTTATATATTCTAAGATACAAAAATTAATGAAATAGAAAATAAATAAATTATTATATATAGCAATATTTAAAATATTCTAAACTTTTTAAGACAGTATAGCTAGATTGCATAGGGGTAATAGTAAATGTTGGACATTCTATGTTAATTTTTCAAAATATATTTTTATAGAATACAACAGGATATCTTTCATGAAATATATTTAGTGAATGATGAAAAAATGTAGTGTTAGATGTATGATTTGTATAGTTTTAAAATGATAATGATGAAGAAAATGTAATTTTTTGTTACTATATCAAAAGAACAGATGATTATTATATTAAAACAAAAGAAATATTTTGAAAATGTGCATATTTCTCATACTAAAACTCTAGATTAATATATATCAAAGACATAAAAATAATATCAATCATTCTGGAAATTATTTATACAATTTATACAATAATACTATTAGTTAATTTAAAATTTTCCTGGATGAATATTAACAAAATGAATATTCCAGCTGATTGTTAACATTACAACAAAAAACTAAAGAAAGAAACTAATAGCAATATTGATTAAAAAAATGCTAACAAACCAGCTGCATAAAAATTTCATATTAATCATATGACAAAAATTTCATCTAAATAATTTCAAGATGTAAATAATAAAATTCAAAACAAACAAATTGTAGAAAACTTTTTAAGATGTTTTGCAAGCTTATAACAAAATTATTTTTTAATTAAAAATAAATAGTTCTATTCTAAAAAAAGTAAGCAATTTTCTCTCCAATATTCTATTAATTTAACCAGATATGTCTTGATATAGTGTTATTCATATATAGGAAACAGTAACAAGATAGATTATCATCATTCTTAATAACTATTAATTTTTAGTTTATAGTTAGTATTTAAGTCTACTTTACATAAACTTAACAATTGTAATATATATAAGTTATTTCAAAAACAAATTAGAAACAATTTGATTCATGGAACTTGTTTTATGAAAGACCTATATAGAAAAAATTATGCAATATATATAAATTTGGCATAATTATTACTATTAGAATAATTTTTGTGTTAAATAAATCATTGAACAACTGAAATAAATATAATATTTTAAATTTATTACAGTTGTTGTTTAAAAAAAGTCTTTTCTTCAATCTATATTTGTAAAACATGAAACCTAAGTGAAAGCTTTAAGCTTTGATGTGGTACAATATATATATGTAAGAAACAGAGTGTATGCAAAGTATGCATTATAAATTTGTAATTAGCACCTTTGTTAAAGTCAAAGTTCTTCAACATGATTACTTTGAATAAGTTGAAATTAAATATAAAGTTATAAATAACATAAAAGTTATAAATTATAAAATAAATGTAAATAACATCAGAAAGTTACACATTCAATTTATAAGCAAATTAAAAAAAAAAAAAAAAATAGTTATTGTTAGGATAAATTATCAGTTATCTTTGGCATCAATTTATTGTTTCATTTTTTCTAAAATGGGCAAAATCATATCAAATGATGGTCTCTTTCCTGGATCTTCATTCATGCAAATGCGGATGAGTCGAGCCATGTGCTGAGAAATTCCAGGAGGAACTGTTATACGCAAGCCTTCCAGTGCAATCTGTAATAAAAAGAAATAATTTAATTTATTAATGCGATTTTATTTTTAAATTTTAAGAAAATTAATAATTATTTAACAATTTTCAATTACTTTCAATCCCATTTCCATTGGAGACAAATCAGAAAAAGGAACTTCTCTAGTGGCTAATTCCCATAATAATATAGCATAACTCCACATATCAGCTGCTTTGGAATTTATATCTTCTTGTTTCTTTTGCAATGCTAAATATAAATAAAATTACTATAGTCGTATATAATCTTCCATTTACATATATATATATATCAAATTTATAAAAACATCCCTTATCAAACTTTTTTAATGGGGAATAACTTATTTCATCTTATTAGCACCTGTATAATAACTTCCAAAACATTGTAATTACCAAGTTAAAATAACTCTATTAAAGTTTCTACTTAAATATAAATTTCTTTATCTTGGAAATACCCCTATCCAAAAAATGAAGTCATTTCAAGATTTATTTATTAAATGTTTTTTATTTTGCTATTCACAAGCAGGAAAAACTTCATTAAAAAAATAATCTTATTTAAAAAATAAAGATATTTTATCTCAATATCTTTTATCTTAAAATATTTAGCTGATACAAAAAGTAAAATGCCATTAAAAACAGTATCATCATCCTTTTATCTTGAAATTTGGAAAAAATCAATCAACATTTCTAAATATTTACTTAGTCATTTTCATTTAATTATAAAAATCACATTACCGTTATTTTTAGATTATCCCCACAACTAAAATTTCAACTAAATCTATAAGCAAAAATTATTAAACTATTAATTGTACATATAAAAAATGTCATATAAACTGTTTAATATTGAATACATTTAATATTTGTTAAATTTGCAGAACTGAAATATTTAAATGTTATAACATGCTATAATATAACACAAACTATAAAATTTCCATATATTTAAAAAGTATATTTTTAAAAGTGTTTTGTCAAAGAATATTTTTATAAAGATTAATTTATTATATATTTAGTGAAAAGATATGATAAACTAATGTTTAGAAAAAAAAATGTTTCTTGACCCAAAATAATTAAAAAAAATAAAAAATATAGCTATAAAAGGTCTCACTTTTATTTGATATTGACATGATAATTACTGTATTGTAATTAAATAAAAGTCTGAAGATAGTGATCTTATCCTACAAACATTTGATGTCTAATGAAAATTATAACTACTAAAGTTTAAAATTATCTGCACTATATAAGAAGTTGATAAAGTTTTTAAAAGTAAAATATCAGGTTATATAGATTAATTAAATTAATGCTATTATATTATAAGCTAAAATATATTATATGTAATATACAGTCGACCCCCCCTATAAGATCATTGATTATAGGGGGGG